AATACTTCTGTTTCTAAAATGAAGTCCTTTCTTTAAAAAGACCCAACAACATTTGTAAGGCTTGATCCTGTAAAAGAAAGTAGAGGTAACACAGTGGAGACACAGCCCTCCTTGGATTAGGAGGATTATGCTGGCCTCCAGCAGGACTTCTTCACAAGGTAGGAACACCCACTCCAGCTGTCACTTCTAATAAGGAAAGAAAGAACCCACATTTCACCAAATCTGCAGCCTGATCATGAGATACTGCTAAATATCAGACAGAGGAAGGAGCTTTGTGGCAGCTGATTCAGTGTTTTGAGAGTTCTGTACAGTAGCAACTCAGACCTTTACATTTACACAATGGGATTAAACAAAACAGGAGTTTATATCAATGATTCACTTGTATGTTGAATATTTCCTTAAAATCCCTCTCCCTTCTGGTCACATCCAGCCCTCTGCTTCAATGTCTGCAGAAAGAAATATGGCTATTGCCACAAGAGCTTGTGTCTCACTACTCAAAGCATGATACTGCCTTTATCATGCCAAACCCACAAAACTAGGATGGGGTAAATCAGCAGTAGGTGTGTTGGAAAAAAAGCAATTATCATGTGCTGTATGTTTATCTACTACTTTTTTTTTTCCACATGCAATCAACCACATGGGAATGAAACTTAAAATTAAAGTAATTTTTTGCAACATCAGGGCTTGTTTGTTAGGTTGGGACTGCTGCCTCAAATTACAGTGAATGGATTAAATGAATGAATGAAGGACAAGTTGATTTTCTGTACACCACAGAAAATACCGATAACAATGGAATGGTATTTTGCAGAGCAGAGAAATGCAGTTACACATACATCACAAAGTGATAGAATGTTTACTACTTGTTCATCATAAATCACAGATTAATGTAATCTGGCACCATAATTATAATACTATAATTTAGAAAGGCATGATACTGTGATAATTTAGATACTAATTTAAGTAGTAAGAGCCCTGGCAAACTCTATAATTTTAGAGCATCAGGTCAACAAAATCAAAAATGGCAAAAGATTTTAAGAAAGGTTTTGAAAAACCTCACTGGAATAGCTGTGAATCCAGATTTCATTTAATACAAACCACTAAAGCCTGAGGAGAAAGGGAGTTCCTCAGCATGGCCCTGGTTTTGGCACAGTGCTTGGTATTCGAACAAGACAATTGGAATATGTGTTTTCCTGTAACAAAACTAAATTGGCATGAATTTTTAAGACAGAAGTAAAACAGATACCACGTTCAGGGTCCATATCTCAATGGTTGGGATAATGGAATTAGACAAGGATCATGGTTTGAATCAATCATTACAGTACATGGCAAACTGTGTCTGTGCATGAATGAATAAAGCAGAGTTAATTAAAAAATCTGATTGCTAAATCTTGGATATTTTTTTCTTCCTTTTATATGTATTTATCATTTAAAAGATTCCTTTGTGCCATATAATGTGGATGTAGATGGAGGAGGAAAGCAAGAAATCTTAATTTGTTGTGGTAAAACAAGTCTAAGAGACTGTCTGCTTCAAAAGCTATTGTCACTATTGCTAAGATTACAAACTATGGTAAGGTGCCTTGGATTTATATGAGGAACATAGCACTGGAATCAGCAATATTTCCAAAAGTACATAATTCTTTTTAGAGATGCTCCACACAACTCCACTTCAAGATTACAAAACCTTAGTCTTCACTATATTTTAACATTTAAAGGTACAAGCCTCCTGAGAAGATCTGGTGTCCCACTTGCTCACAGATTTCATTGCTAAAAGTTTTTAAAAACAAGTAATGAATTAAAAATACCACTACAGAGCATTCAATGTGTTTCTTGTAGTTTGAAAGTATAGGAAAAGGGCAAAAGTTTTTAAGAAATCATAAATTTTCTATGAAGTTCACTCTAAAGTTAGCAACTTAATTTAGAAGCACTGAACAAATAACAATTACAGAAGAACTCATAACAGTGAGAAGTCATAAAGGATAAAAATAAAATACAAAGTCATAAAAATCATAAAACCCATAAGATTCGAGGAAATATTATGAATCTGTGTCAGGGGAGATTTAGATTGGATATTAGGGAAAAGTTCTCCATCCAGAGGGTGGCTGTGCACTGGGAGAGGCCTTGAGGAAAGTGGTCACAGCACCAGCCTGTCAGAGTCCAGCAAGCATTTGGAGAATGCTCTCAGGCACATGGTGAGATTCTTGGGGTTCTCCTGTACAGGGCCAGAAGCTGGACTCGGTGATCATTGTGGATCCCTTCCAAATCAGGACATTCTGTGATTGCATTCAGTGACTCCTGTCTGAATGAAGACCCAAATCCTATCTTGAAGTTAAATACATATATGTACCTCATTACTTATCCCTTATTTCAGAGGTAATTGTTTATTATTTATTAATATTTATTATTTATTTAATTTCAGAGGTAATTAATAATTATTTATTACTTCTGAAAGTGTCTCCATCACAAGCACAGTTGTTTGGATGGGCTTCTTACCAGATGCAGGGAGCCAACATCCAGCAACAGAACTGCTCTGAGAGGCCTAAAGTCCCAAAATTACTCTTTCAACTCAGCAAATCCATCAGTCCAGATATGCCCCACCTCTCTTTTCCATTTTATGCAGTAAATGAACACAGTTCTTACTCTGCTTGAGGCAGGGAGCATACTACATCTCAAATACTTTCCAGATACAGGAATCACCTCTTTGCAAAGAGAATTGTTCAGCTTCTGAGACAACTAAAATGCCCTGAATTACCTTCTCTGCCACCCTTGGCTTCTGTATAAGAATAAGCAGGATTGACACAAAAAAACTCTGCTAGGCATTAATCCCCTGTTGACAGAACTGTCATATTCAGTCAAGTACATTTGATGCATATAACGATTTAGGCTCTGTAAAATATCAATGTTGATAGTTACAATTTTTAGCTGTCAGATTTTATTCCCCTACCAGAAAACTGTTTTCTACTAAAAAGGTTAACTGGTTCTCTGAACTATAAAGAGAAAAAAGTGAAGCAGGAAGATACCATGGACAAAGCTGCAATTACAGAAGGTACTGGTGACAACAGCAAGCTCTGGAACCTTGCCCATCTGGTTAATTACGATGTCATGGTCCGCTCAATGCTCAGTGTTTACAGGGCTTTACTTCAGGGCCTGTCATTTATTCTATATATTAACATCTAGAACTATAACCATGATATAACCTAGTCATTGGAAAAGGCCACAAACCCTGCTATGATATGTCTCAATGCCAGTGCTGCAGCTTTACTGCATCTGAGACTGAACCACAAAAAAACACATGGATTTTAAAACTGAGGAAAGACAGAAAAGCACTGCTAAGTGGTGGTACTTTGAAGTGACTGATAGCTCTGTACTTCTTGTGCTGTGCAATTAAAAAAGTGTCTGCAAAGGCTGCTAATTAATTAACTAACACATATCCACAGCAGGCAACTCATCCTACTGGAGATATGTCTCATTTAGAATATTAAAATGTATGGACTGAAGCTTAGATGTTGGGCTTGATTCCTTTTTTCCCATGTTCAAAACCAGAAACAGATGTGGAATATCTGTTTATGATTTCTACTGCAGTGTATAGATCAGGAGGAGCTCCACTGAGTAAAGCCAGATTACATATAAATTATTTGCCTTGTAAATATTGCAGAGGATGTGGGATTAGAGCCCTGGAAGTTGTTTCAGACCACAAGATCTCCCTCTCTGCCTCCAATGTCTCAACAACAAACCTCGCATATCTCTATTTCCAAAACGGAAGACATTATTCCCAGTCAGACCTAACCCTGCCCAGAAGCAATCAAATGTTTTTAATGCTTAAAAACCATGGCTTTTTTTTCTTCAAAATCTCCCATGATTGTTATCTAGCCCATTGCTAGAGAAAATGGTACTTAAAAAGAAAAGTATAGTACTGGAAAGTCAACTTCTTGTATTTGACAGAGTATTTGTTACTGCTCTTGAGATTCTTTCACTTCAGATCCAAGATCTTGAAGATGTCATATTGTGACTTGCTCTACACTATAAACAAGCAAACCTCTAAATAAAGTAATATTTCAATACTAGTAAATACACAGGAGAACCTCTCAACACCAATATATATATTGTTCTGATATGGATTCTGATACAGGCTAATATGGGTACCATTTTTAAAAGTCTAGGTCTAAGTATGCACTTTAATAAATGCATTGAGGCAAAAGCATATCTCTGCCTGGATCCTCCTGTGCATAGACAGGACATTTTTTTTCATCCTACCTTTTGAAATTTACACTTGAAATATTTTAAACCCTTTATATCAGGAGTGAACACCTGAAAAGGTGGTTTCCCCTCAGCTGTTTCCCATTTGATACCTGGCCGGGCAGCGAGAGGACAGGTGCTGGGGCTACTTTGTGCAGCCCTCTGCGAGTTACCTGCGCCGAGAGCCACCCCTGGAGGGTTCCACAGGCGGAATGTCTGAACATCCCCCTGAGCCGCCCGTGCAAGCG